CATAGTGAATCGATAGGGAGAGAGTTTTGAATTGGGAGAAAGTTTAGAGAGAGTTTTTTTTATAGTATAAAGCCTATGAAATCAAATTCGATCCACTGAATAACCAAAGTTTCTATCCTAGGTTTTAAAACCAATTTATAACTCTATTTCTTATACCCTTTATCGCTCTGATACCACTTTGTATCAGAGTCTTATCAATTCAATTTTCTATGCCAATATATACGACCTAAGCTCTGATACCAATTTGTAAGATGCCAAAATGATCATTACATTGATTCTTCATCATCTCTATTACCATGCGGACTATACCACCCCCTCTAATTAGTGTTTGTCAAAACATACTAATACTAATTATAGCAACCCGAGAAGGGGCATAAAAAGCAAAACGTACTAACAATAATTGCAGCAGCCGGAGAAGAGACATAAAAAACAAAACATACAAACACTAATTGCTACAGCCGGAGAAGGGGCATAAAAAGCAAAACGTACTAACACTAATTGCAGCAGCCGGAGAAGGGACATAAAAAGTGTCATCCATCTTCACGGGCTTCCAATGCAGCTTCAACTTCTTCAGTCACATCTTGTACTGCTTGCTTCACCATTTGCTTCACCAACTTCTTCAATTGCTTCACCTTCTTCAGAGATTGCTTCATCAACTTATTCACCAACGTCTTCAATTGCTTCACCTTCTTCAAATACTGCTTCATCAACTTCTTTACCAACTTACTTCTTCAATTGCTTCACCAACTTTAACTCCAGCTTCAATTTTAAGCTCGTGGTCTGAAAATTATTTTTATTTACCAAAAGTTGTGGCTTTATTATAGTTATTATAAATTCCAAATTTCTAGTTATTGTTTCCCTGGCGCTCTCAATCTTGCTTTCTCCTTCTTGCTGATTGAGATTAGATCACCGGACACTCAGGGTCTGTGTCATGTCTCTTATCCTCATCTTCGTTATCCGACACGATTTCTTCTTCCTTTTCCACCATCTTCTCACTATCGAGCACACCAATCAGTGTGGCCCTATACGAGATGTTTGCATTAGTTCCAGTGGCTTGCGGATTCGCCGGAACCCTTTCCTAATCTTCAATGCTCATGTTTGTATCCACTCCATTTACTTCTTCCATCGCAAAAAAGTCATGTTATCATCAATTTATAAAAAATAGAAAAATAAAAAGATGTTAAAATGTACTATACTAATAAGAGCCAATAAAATTAAGTAATGGGTAGAAAAAAATGTCCTTCAAATTATTAAATGAAATGAATGGTTTAGATTATTCATATTTTAATTTGTTATTGAGATTTTGAAATTTATCCTTAATTATTAACTTACTCATTGATCAGGTTCGAACCACATCCCAATCAAAATTGACATAATTAAGTTTTCACTCTATTTTACTCTTGTTAAATTAAATAAATTAGTAGCTACAAAAAAAATGATACCTATGCATTTCTTTAATTTAGAATTATGTGTCTACAATGCCTTTATTTAAAAAAACAAATTATTCATTATCAATTATCAATAAATTAAATATGAGAAATAATTTCATTAGTTATATTGTCTTTTATTTTTTCAATGCAAAGATTCTTTACTTTCAAATTCATCAATTGATATTCATTACATTGTCTAATATCTTCTTTTTACAGTATCTTGTAATTAAATATCAAAGTTATAATACAAAATAATGTTATATATTTATTTACCAAGTATTTTATTAATACCATGAAACAAAATAAAAAATAATAGTTTGAAGCTAATCATATTAACTACTTGGGGAATTTGCTAACAAAGAAAGTATTCAAGTAACCCAACAAATTGAAGAGGGAAACTACCTCGCAATATCTTTGGACTACATCATATTTAAAATGTTATTTTAACTACTTTATCTAATCTTATTCCTTAAACTAGGGATTTCTTTATCTACAATAACTCATTCACACAATAATGATTGAACCAAATGAACCCCAAGCAGAACACCTAAAAGACTAGTATGCTTTTATGTTGATAATAATATGTAAATGTTAATTATATCATTATCTTACGTAGCTACATTTAAAACTCATTATTAAATTAAAATTGTTAATGTAGGGCAATAGAACATCGTAACACACTTGATGCACTGAAAAGTTACTGAGACTACAACAATGCTGCAATCAATTTGGCAAACCTAGAAAATGAAAAAATTTTAAAATAGCCACCGTTGATTCATTCATTTATCCTGTATGTAAAATATATACTTATTGTGCATTAATTAAATATATTAGAACTAATATAAATTTACAATTCTTTTCATCTTCTTGACTCTACCTGTTTAGATTACGGGTAAAATCAACATCAACCTTCATAACAAAAATAATGGTATATAGGATGTAGTCACTATTAAAAAAAAAAAAACTTATGCACAAAGTGGAAAAACAATTTATTCAAAGGTTAATATCAATTTAATAAAAAAAAATTAAAAAAAACACACACACACACACAAACAATCAAGCACTACAATCATTCATACTAATTATAAAAATATGAACTTGAAAATGAACATGTACAAAATAGATGTGAAAATTATTGATGAAACTAGACATGTTGCAGTATCAATATTCGAACTACCTGCAGAGTTATTGTTGTTACTATCAAGTAAACAAGTTATGAAAATAGAACAAGAGGACTACTCATGAACCTTATACAAATATAATAAATATTAATACTTTATTCAATACTGCACATGAAATATGTAGGGAAACAAACTATCACTGCAAAATATCAACATGCGCTTGCAAGATCAAGAGTTCATAGTAGAACTAAGATCCCAGTCATAACACACTATCAACAAAAATGAAGAGAATAAATAGTGAAGATGAAGATAATGACAATGTTACTCTGTAGCGGGTGTCGCGGAAAGTGTTTATTAAAAAAATTTGTATCAAGGTGTCGCGGAAAGTCTACACTTTTTCAATCACCCTCATCCGCTACACCTATACAAGTGTAGCGGAAACACTTGACAGGCGTAACTGATATGTTTTTTTGTACTAGTGTATCATTTAGAAAATGTGTTTTGAGTCTTTGATCGTACATTAAACGCTCGCATTTTTCAAATGCATATTTACTTTTGGTGAATTTTGTTTTTTCATTGAAAATACTTCAAACACATTTGTCAAATACATTTGAGATATTTTTATACTGGAGTTAATACCATCTGAGGTCCTCCGAGTATAGTGGGTTTGCCACGTTTAGTCCTAAACTTTCAAATTGACCATTTGTCGTCCTTCGAGTTTCAAATTTAACCATTCGTGGTCCAAGTTAACCACCCATGGTCCTTCAAGTTTCGAAATTTAACCAGTGGTAGTCCTCTTGAAAGGACCATGGTTGGTTAAAATTTAATAGTTGAAGGACCATTGGTGGTTAACTTGGACCAAAAATGGTTAAATTTGAAAGTCGAAGGACCGCAAATAGTCGATTTGAAAGTTTAAGACTAAACGTGGCAAAGTCACTATACTCGGAGGACCTCAAATGGTATTAACTCTTTTATACTGTATAGTACGCGAAACTCATATAGCAAATGAAAATTTTAAAATAATTTTTTTTTTCTAAAAGAACAGTATATTATCAAGACCATTAACCTGGCCCGGCCTAACTTAGAGCACCTTATATAAATGAAAGTTCTAATTTGTCGAGATCGATACATGTGCATCTTCTACCGTGTACAACCCAAAATGGATGAAAAAAGTTTTGAGTTTGAAATGACCCTACGGGGGAGACGTTATGCTGTGGAATCGTGCCCAGCGTGCATCATGGGCACGGTAATGGTGCCGTCAGGCACCGTTATCTTCCTTTTTCTTTTTTTTTTTTTTAAATTTATTTTCAGACCGCTTCGTTATAGGAGTATATATTCACAGCTTTGTGTTCATAATTTCATAACTGTACATTCATAATTTTATAAATGTATATTCATAATTCCATAACTGTACATTCATAATTTCGTAATTGTACATTCATAATTCAATAACTGTAAATTCATAATTTTCGAAGCTCTATGTTCATAATTGTAAGTTCATAATGTCAGAGTTCTATGTTCATAATTTCATAACTGTACATTCATAATTTCATAACTGTACGTTCATAATTCCATAACTGTACATTCATAATTTCATATTATATATTCATAATTCCATACCGAACATTCATAATTTTCGAAGCTCTATGTTCATAATTGTAAGTTCATAATTTCAATAAATGTACATTCATAATTCTATAACTGTACATTCATAATGTCATAACTGTATATTCATAATTTCATAACGAATATGTCGTTAACGCCGTTAACGGCGTTTCGAACAATTTTTGTTTTTTAGTTAAAACGGCGTCGTTTTCAGTGAAAACGACGCTGTTTTAGCGCCGTGCACACCTTGCAAGGTGCGCACGTGCGCATAGCATAATTTGCCCCTACGGGGTACTATCACTATTATGTGAACAAACTAAAGCCTTTTCAAACTTTTTGACTTATTCTCGGTACAAGATGTACGGATGCCGATCAACACTATAGACTTTAATTTCTCTAAATTTATAATATTGAATGAGTAGATTGAAATTAATGAACATATATGCTTTCTTAGTGAATGATCATATCAACACATGGAAAATTGTTAAATCAGCTGGAAAATGAAATGTCCAAACAAGAAACCCTAATTATTTTATATGAGAATTGGAGCTATGCATACATACTTCACCTATGAGCACATATACTGGTCCAAGCTCCTACCTAAAAAGTCATTGAATCATCTTAATTTATCTTTCTACAATTCAGCAGTAAAGTCAGGATGTGAAAACTTTGGGGTTATTTGAGTGACTTCTTCTACTACATGTACTTCCGACCAAATCTTACCCCTTATGTGGTGAGCGTTGATAGACTATTTTTTTTTTCATGTAGGCCTCTGTAAAAGTGTCTACATCTAAATGTGGGAGTAGAATGATAGTACATATAGTATTTTCCTTACAAAGAAATATTGATGGCAATAAACAAGCAAATTTAAGCTACTCTTTGTATACTTATTAAGTCATGCATCTCCCACAAATTAAAGCCATATATAATCCTAACAACTTGATTGTTTAACACTGCACGTACAACGAACTGAAAACACTATCCAGTAGCAGTAGTAGCCTAATACTATATATATATATATGTTCTTACTGTCCTACATTAATTTGAATAATACACTTGCAGAGTTTTTGATTTGTCTTATGTTTTTATACTCATCTGTTTCCTTGATGATCATATGATCGATCAATATGTCGGCCAATAGTTATCCAAATCAGCACATTGATCCATGCCCATATATCTATTTGCCGGATTGCCCATGTCAGCCGCCACGTACCCGGCGGCTTCACTTGTGATCAGCACATCCGGCTGAGTCATCGCCGTCGGCGGCGGCGGCATTGGTCGGAGAACGGCCTGAGACGAGGCCGAGCCGCCGCCACTGCCGCCGCCCAGGTTTAGGTTCAGACCGGAGATAGTGAAGCAGCCTGTTCCGCCGGCTCCGGTGGGTCCCATTGGGTAGTTCATCTGATGGGGTTGGTGGATGGGGAAGTTGATGGCGGCGGAGGTTGCGCCGCCGCCGGCCCCTCTGAAAACCCTATTGAACTCCTGCATTTCCGCAGGGGTTATGTAGGCGGCGGCGGCGGCGTTTCTTCCAGGCGGCGGTCCCATGGCGAAGTGGAAGCCGTGGTCCGGCGGGATCATCTGCGACGACATCATACTAGGCCCGATCTCCAGCGTGTACGGATTCACCGCCCTGGAGTGGTTGGACGGATACTTCTTAGCTCCGGCGCTCTTCTGGAAAACACGGCAGACCACCCACTCATCTTGCTGCATATATCAAACATGCAAACAAACCCAACATCTTATTATATACGTACAAAAAGGTTATTTATTTATTTATTGTTTATGCAATAACCCACCCAAGTTGGTCTAACATGAGAGCAAATTTATTCACTTTCTTAATTTGGAGTAGCTGATTTACGATAAATTATACTATGTACTATATTTCACATTGAAATGTGGACCATTAATAAAATGTATGTTCATTGTTAATCATGGTTGAAAAAATCAATAGGCACTATTTAATACTTTAATAATTAATACTAAAATATTAAATATTAACCTTAAAAATATTAGACTTTGAACAGTTTAGGATTATTTAAAACGATGTGATTTTGAATAAAATAACCCATTTAAAAAAGAAAGGAACAATAGCTAATCGGCCGGCTAGGCAACCTAGTCGGTGCCTAGGAGGCCTAGACAGCGCTTAGGTGGCCGACTACTGATTATGGTGATAGGCTAGGCTGCCGGCCAACGTCTAGCTAGCGCCTAGCGCCTAATCGGCGCCTAGATGGAATTTTTGCAACACTGTTTTTAATATATTGAAAGTTCATTATTAATGTACTAAAAATTCATTTTTAGACAATATACCAAGTAATGAACCTCCATTACACTAAAAGTGAACCTTCAAAATAACCTTATGTCAATTAAAAGTAGTGAACAGTGGTCCATACTATATATAATGATTACTAATTTACCTCATTGTTGTGGTCCCGCTTTGCCCAATCAACATTATACTATGGATCATGGTCCACCTTAATTGCATAATATTCACTTTTAGTATATTAAAAGTTCATTTTCAGTATATTGAGTGTTTATTTTTATTCTGTAAAAAGTTTATTTTTTGGTATATATTACTTAAAAATGAACTTTCAACATATTAAAAATGAACATTCAATATATATGCTAAAAGTTACGGAGTAACATTTATCAATGGTTCACATTGTAATGTGAACCATAATTCATAGTATAATTTGTCTCCTTTACCAACTAAGACCACGAGGCGAGATTTACTCTGTACATGTCCTCAAGTAGTGACGGTGAGCCTCACTCAAAAAAAAAAAAAAAAAAAAAAAAAAAAGGGACTTTTCTTTTCTTTTCTATTCTACCATTCATCTTAAGATGGTGAAGACCACAAGTTAAACCTAAGATGAGGAGCAAGACAACATTATTTTCTTCTCAACAAGGTAACCACCTCCCTTTTTCTATTCTTAGGAACAACAAATATAATTAATGAAGTGATATAGTACGTACCTTGTTTGTTCTATAAGAGGATTTAGAGTGGATCCGATATTCATGCATGACCCAGTTGGTCTTCTCTCCTCTAGGAGCTCTTCCTCGGTAAAACACCAACGTTTTTTTCATGCCAACCAACTCCGAGGTTGAGCTGTTGAAGATCTCTTTGTCTTTGCCGGTTGTTTTCCAATATCCGGTGTTCGTTGCCCGATTAGTTCTCACTCCTGTTGGATATTTCCGGTCCCGGAGGCTGAAGAAATACCATTCCTTTTCTCCCATCTTAGCTTTCCCTAATAAGAACAAATTATTAAATCAATTATTTAAATCATATATAATTAATCCAGATATTACATAAAAATAAAACCCCTAGCTAGCTAGCTAGTAAAAAAAAACATACAAACATAAAGTTACAAGAAAATTATATCATTTCTAGAGTTTCTTTGTTGAAACCTAATAATGAAAACTCAAAAATAAAAGTAACACTTTAATTATTTTTTTTTAAAGAGATTTTATTCATTCATATCAATCTAGTGTTATAGGTGTTAGTTCCTAGCTGGTACCATAAGTGATCGAGTAGAAAATTATTATATCATTTCAATCTAGAGTTCCTTCGTGCAAACCCTAAGAATATTGAAAACAAAAATAACAAATCATAAATAATAATAATAAAAAAAAAAGTTGAGATTTCAATTGTTTATATATTGATCTAGTGTTATAGGAATATAATTGATCTCGAGTACCATAAATGATAAGAAATTCAAAATTTTTAAAGATTTTCTTTGTATGCTGAAGCTAGAAATTCAATGCATATTAAAGATATATATAATAGATTCAATAGATCATAAAGGCGGACTTCACTTATAGCTCACTTTCGGAAAATAACTGCGAAAGTTTTCATAAATCAAAGATATATAGTTTCAAGACTAGATCAAAAAGTTTCATGTTTAGCTTGTATGCTCATTAGATATATTTAAAAAAAAAAAAAAAAGAATAGAACAAGAAGCTACAAATCTTATGAATATGAACCAAAACCCTTGATTTCAACACCATTTTAATATGATTAGTCACAATACAACAATCCTATGAATATGAACCAAAACCCTAGATGTTTCCACACCCTTTTAATGCTAAGATTAGTCATCAAAAAAAAAAAAAAAAAAAAGAACAAAACATCAATACCCATAAACAATCCTATGAATATGAACCAAAACCCTAGATGTTTTTGCACTCTTTTAATGCTAAGATTAGTCATCTAAAAAAAAAAAAAAAATTAATACCAATACAACAATCCTGTGAACATGAAGCAAAACCCTAGTTGTTTTTGCACTTTTTTAATGATTACACATACATCTAAACAAAACCAAAAACCCTAATTCTTTTCCCTTTGATCTGATCTTAGCTTTTTGATGATAGATTTGTAGAGACAAAAAAGCTAGCAAGCTGTCACTGTATCCAACGGTGGAAATCCTGGATAAACCAAAAAAAAAAAAAAAAAAAAAAAAAGCTAGCAAGCTAAGCTACCTGGAAGATCCCATGGCTCACACTTGTTTAGATCAACATCTCCAATAGCCCTAGCAGTGAATCCAGCATCTGAGATCTTGTTCACAAGATAAAAAGTTATAAGCTCTTCATCTGTGGGATGAAACCTGAAACCTGGTGGCAAGCTTTCCTCCTTCAACTCTCCTTCCATTTCTTCAATTCTCACCTTACTTGTATTAAATTCTTTCTTAATGCTCCCTCCTCACAACCACTTTGCTAATCTCAACACTCCAACAAACAGATCAATCTCTCTCTCTGGTCAAACCCTACAATCCATGAACAACAACAAGAAGAAGAAGAAGAAAACAATTAAGTTAAAGGGTTTCCCTCAAGAAATATGGAAAAACTAATTTTAGTTGTTGTCTAAGTAGCAGAAGAAACCATTACTGTCTACTGCTAGCTACCTTTCTTGTGGTTTTCTCACATCACTTAGCTTGCCTGGAGAAAGCTTGCATCAAAGTATAATTATTATCATTATTATTATTTTTTCTTGGTTGATCATATGAGCAAGAAACTGGGAAATTTAAAGCTGTGGAGTATACAAGGGATGGAAGTGTGAATCTCAAGCCCTCACCTACTATGGCCCTTCACTCACACGGTTGCCCTCTTGACCGTATTATCCATTTTTTTTTTAATATAAAATACCTGTTTGAAATGATATGATTTTTCTATGGTTTCATTGATTTACGAAAAAAATACGCTTTAGGTGAACTCAACTTTGCGACCGTAGTTAGTAAAGAACAATAAGAAAGTAAACTAGTTTATGTTACTCATATATAGCTAATCAGCTTAAATTGACAAGATAGTTAATAGGCAGCTCCCATGGGGAATTGAACTATTTGTAATGATATATATGATTTTTTACCGTTCCTTTGATTTGCGAGAAAGTCTATAGCTGCTGCCTGAAAATATATATACTCACGGATTAAGCTCACTTTGTGACCTTAGTCAATAAAAAATCAGAAGAAAGTAAATCATCTCAGGTTGTCCATTACTGACTAGCTCAAACTAACCAAGAATGCCAATAGATAGCTCTCAAACTAACCAAGAATACCAATAGATAGCTCTCATTAGTCCTGGAGTCGAATTATTTGCAATGATGTGATTCTTCTACCGTTCCGTTTTTATTTTTCCAGTTTCGTACTAAAAGCACTATTTATTTTTCTTACGTATAATAATGTACATTTTTATAAGATTTACTTACATCGGTAATTCGAAATTATTGAAATTAAAGCACCATAGTTTAAAAATAAAGGTGGAATTTGTATGAAATAAATCGAGGTGAAAAACATAAAACAAAGAAATTAAAGAAGAAAAATGTAGATAGTTGTGGTAAATTAAAGTTGAAAGAATAAAAAACAATTATTTTTTGAATAAGGAATTTTTTCGTTTTTTCTCTCGCCGTATTCGCGAGCGTTTTCTAGGGTTTCTGCTTGTTTTTCGCCGTGCGACAGGCGTCGACAACGAACTCCTACGCTAGTTACGTCTGTGCAGATGGATGCTCAGGAGGTTACTGATCAGTGTGCAAGCCTGACGTTAGCAGATGTGGATGATGAAGAGGTCGCGGTACAGGTTCCTTTTGAGCCGGGAGAGTGTGAAGAGGAGGAGGAGATGTTCCATGCGGTTGGATGGCTGCTAACAAATCGTGCGGTCCGGTTTGCATATTTTCAGGACACCATGGCAAGAGTGTGGCAGGCGGCCATGGGAGTGAATATGCGGGAGTTTCAGCCTCGGAGGTTTCTCTTTCGTTTTTACCACGAAGCTGATTTCCAACGTATCCTATCCGAAGGACCTTGGGCGTATGAACAAAGCTTGTTAATTATGAAGAAGCTAGAACCTGGGGAGGATCCGGAAACAGTGCCGTTGGATTTTGTGGACTTTTGGGTTCAGATACATGCTCTGCCGGTCGGTTTTCGCTCTGAGTCGGTGATCAAGGCTGTGGGTTCGTTTCTGGGAACTGTAGTACAGTCTGATGGTAGGAATTTCGATGGCTCCATGAGGGTGTTTTATCGTGTTCGGGTGTCTCTGGATATTACCAAACCGCTCAAGAAACAAATGAAGCTCAAGAAGGGTGTTGGGAGTTGGTTTATCATAGATTTTCGTTATGAACGGTTGCCGACCTTTTGTTTCTTATGTGGGTTGATAGGGCATGGGGATAGATATTGCAGGCTCGCATTGCAGCGCACTGATCCTAAAGTGGAGAAACCGTACGGAGCCTGGTTACGTGCCACTACTCGCCGGGGACTGCCAACGACGAACCAAGGCTGGATTCCCCCTGAAACTGTTGCCGAGCGTAAGTTTTGGAGGTCACCTGCTATGGGTTTTGTTGAGGAATCCCGTAACAGTGAGGGGGGGGGGGGGAGAAAAACAGTGTAGTTGGGACTGATTTGGGTCAGGGGGGTACGGGCAGTGTTGTTGGGGAAATGCATGGGGGTGTTGGCAGTGTTGTTCGGGAAAAGTATGGGGGTGTGTACAGTGTTGTTCGTGGGGTTGTTGTTGGGGAGCAAAAAAGAAGGAGGGTAGAGGAGGGGGATGCCGAGGGGGGTGAAGGTGGTGAGGGTGGTGGTGAGATGGATTGTGGAGCAATGGTGTCAAAAAACGGATTGGGGGCGGGACTTGCTCCGGGAATTATGAGTTTCATCTCCTGGAATTGCCGGGGGCTTGGCAACCTGACGGCAGTTCGTGTTTTAGCGGACCTAGTTCGCACAAAGAGGCCGACTGTGGTGTATTTGATTGAGACTTTCGCGGATAAGCAACGTATGGAGGACGTCCGTGTGCAGTTGGGGTTCGATTGTGTATTTACGGTGGAGGCGGATGGGCATAGGGGTGGCTTAGCTCTGTTGTGGATGAATAGTGTGGACTTGAGGGTTTCGGGTTATTCTGCGAATCATATTGATTGTGACCTGCGGTTGGATGTTGGAAGCCCTTTCTGGCGTTTTACTGGTTTTTACGGGTTCCTGGAGAGGCACCGAAGGCGAGAGGCATGGCAGTTGTTGCGCACCTTGTCATCTCGGTCTTCTCTTCCGTGGCTGCTGATGGGGGATTTTAACGATCTACTTGATCAGTCTGAGAAGGTAGGTCGGGTCCCACATCCGCCTTGGTTAATTAATGGTTTTAGGGCGGCTATTGCTGACTGTGGTTTGCAGGATGTCCCTTTTGAGGGGCCTCAGTTCACTTGGGTGAAGTTGCGGGGAACGGGTCATATGATTGAGGAGAAATTGGATCGTATTCTGGCATGCGAGGATTGATTGAATTTGTTTTAGGGAGCTCAGGCGCATTCACTGGTTGTTCCATATAGTGATCATTTGCCCCTAATTTTAACTCCGGTTTCACTCCCTCGGGTTCGGAAGCGAGCCAGGTTTTGTTTTGATAATATGTGGCTGCGGGAGGAAACGTGCAGGGAAATTATTTCCCACAACTGGGACAGAACGGTGGGCCAAAACACGTTGGCAAGGGTGGAGGCGTGTGCTCATGACATATGGAGGTGGGGGCGGAATTATAACAGGGAGTTCCAGAGAAAGATTGAGTATAATAAGCGTCGCTTAGCTTGGCTAAGAGGGCGTCGTGATGTGCCAGGTATGCGTGAGTATGATGAGGTAGAAAGGGAGTTGCTTTATTTGTTGGAGCAACAACATTATTTTTGGAAACAGCGGGCCAAGGAATTCTGTATCAAGGCGAGGACGTAAATAGCAAGTTTTTTCACAATTCTGTGAAAACTAGACGCCGTAAGAACACTATTAGAAGGCTCTGGGATGAGAACGGAACTTGGGTAGAGGATGAGGAGGGGTTGGACAATGTTATGCTGAATTATTATAATGGTCTTTTCGCCCCGGACTATGGTGAGATGGAGGAGGTAATTGATGCTATATCGGGGAAGGTGACTGAGCATGATAATGCAATGTTATTGCGCCCACCGAGTATGGAGGAGGTTAGGGTAGCGGTGTTTCAGATGCATCCTGACAAGTCCCCGGGTCCTGATGGTTTTGGGTTGGGGTTTTTTCAGTATTTCTGGGACATTGTGGGGGGGGGGGGGGGGGGGGGGGGGGGGGGGGGGGGGGAGGTTACGGCTTTCTGCAGGGGCTTCTTGGATTTGGCTAAGCTCCCAGGTGGTGCTAATGATACCCTTGTTGTTCTGATTCCGAAGAAGGCTAGGCCGGAGTCTATGAAGGATCTGCGCCCGATAGCATTGTGTAATGTCATCTATAAGATTGTGGCTAAGGTGTGTGTTAATCGTTTAAAACCTTTGTTGCAGAAGCTGATTTCGAATGCGCAGAGTGCCTTTGTTCCGGGCCGCCTAATTACTGACAATATCATGCTTGTCTACGAGGTTCACCATTATTTGAAATGGAAGACCCAGGGCCGTGAGGGGGTGGTGGCTTTGAAACTTGACATGTCCAAAGCCTATGATCGGGTGGAGTGGGATTTTCTTCGGGCAGTGATGCTTAAGTCGGGGTTTGGTGATCGATGGGTCAATATTCTGCTTGAAACGGTAACTTCTGTACGGTAACAAATCTTACATGACCAGCGGCGATTGGGACCGATTATACCTGGTAGGGTCTTCGTCAGGGGGACCCGTTGTCCCCATATTTATTCCTCTTTGTCGCAGAAGGGTTGAGTGCCATGATTGAAAGAAGTATGGCTGCGGGCCGATTGCATGGTGTTTCGGTTGCAAGGGGTGCGCCTTCTGTCTCTCATCTTCTCTTTGCAGATGACTCCTTCCTGTTCCTTCGGGGTAACGAGGAAGAAAGCGTTCAAATGAGGTATGTGCTGGACACTTATGCTAGGGCTTCTGGCCAGCATGTTAATTATGATAAATCTGCTGCATGTTTTAGTGCTAATGTGCCACAGAATATAAGGAATGAAGTGGTTGATGTTCTGGGCGTGGAGGAGGGAGAGACTAGTGGAAAGTACTTGGGTTTGCCTTCTCTAGTGGGAAGGAAAAAAAAAGCCATTCTGGGGTTTCTGAAGGATTGTATACTCACCAGGGTTCGTTCTTGGAATGCCAAGTTCCTGTCAAGAGCTGGGAGGGAGGTTCTATTGAACAATGTTTTGCAGGCAATGCCAACATATGCTATGATGGTGTTTCTACTCCCCTTGGGCCTTTGCCAGGAAATTGAGGTAGTATTGAATCAGTACTGGTGGTCTGGTGATGTGAGTAATGGCCGTGGAATACGATGGCGTTCTTGGGAGGGTTTGTCGAGGCCAAAAGCGTGTGGTGGAATGGGGTTCAGACGCCTTCATGAGATGAATAAAGCTCTTCTAGGAAAGCAAGCTTAGAGGTTGATTTCCAACCCCACGAGTTTAGTGGCACGTGTGTTTAAATCACGTTATTACACTGACTGTGACTTTTTTGATGCCAGGGAGGGGAACAATCCGTCCTACATATGGCGGGGTATGTTAGCAGTTAAAGAGTGCTTGAAGGAGGGTTGTAGAAGGGTGATTGGCGATGGTAATGGGACTTTAATTGGCAGGGATCCTTGGCTACCAGTGGATGATAATCCATT